GAAGAAGCAAGCAGTACCATCAATACCAGCCATATAAACAAGAAACATACGAAGCGTACACCCATAGGGACTCAAAAAAAAAGATAACAATGATAAAAGTATAAAGTACGTCCGGAACCCAAACAAGTTTTGCGATTTTCATAAAAAGCTAGGCCATGCAACCGAAGATTGTGAGATCCTAAAAATAGAGAAAGGAAAAGGTCAAACATCTAGGAGAGAATAAGAGAGAGCTCCATGAAAGGAAGAAGCACGGATGTATGACATTGAGATCACCATGATACAAGGAGGAGAAGGCAATAATAACCTAATGAATAAGCGCAAGGCAGTTAACATCGAGTTTAATCTCCATGACCCTATACCCATCGACCACCATGGTATGGATCCATTGGTAATTATGGGAGTAATAGGGAGAAGGTTAATACGCAGAATCTATTTAGATAATAGAAGCTCAGTTAACATCATCTACGAACACTGTTTAAAATAACTCCCAAGAGTCATCCATAACTACATGCAACCTGCCACGTCGGCTATAGTGGCTTTTGAGGTCAGTTTGTATGGCCAGTGGGAAGAGTATCATTACCATTCACGCTGAAGGATTATAGGGGATCAATGCATATGACCATTCTAACGGAATTCATCGTAATAAGGGCATCGTCCCTTTATAACATGTTGTTAAGAAGGACAGCTCTATGTAAGTTGTAGGAAATACCTTTAACAGTGCGCAGTCTACTCAAATTTCCTTCTGATAATGGAATCATGATAGTCCAGACTACAACAATGGGACCTTCGAAATGCAACCATGTTGTGTAACCCAATATAGTTGAACCAATCATAGAAGAAGGAAGTGCATCTTTGAATATCGAAGGAGTGGTCATCAACGAGAAGTATGAAGATCAGAAGATCAAAATAGGCACAAAATTACCTAAGGGCTTGAAAGAAGGTTTAATCGCTTTGTTATAAAAAATACAAAGATACGTTCTCATGGAAACATGAAGACATGGTGGGGATCCCTCGATCATTAATAAAGCATCGACTCAACATCAACCCCAGTCATGCGCGCATTGTACAAAAGCAATGCATAATGGCAAAACAAAGAAATAAGATAGTGAATAAGGAGGTAAAATAGTTAGTAGCAGTAGGAATTATGAGGGCTACGCAGTTCCCCAAGTGGATAGAAAACCCGGTGTTAGTGAAAAAGCATGACGGCACCATGAGAATGTGTGTCAACTTCACAGACCTCAATAAGGCATGCCCGAAGGATAGTTATCCTCTCCCATAGATAGAGCAAAAGATTGAGTCATTGGGAAGAGTTAGGTGGAAAAAAAATTTAGACACTTATAAAGGGTACCACTAGGTGAAAATGGCAATAACAGACGAAGATAAAACAACTTTCCACACGAAGAAGGGAACTTTCTGCTATATAAAGATGTCGTTTGGACTAAGAAACGCAGGGGCCACGTACCAAATATTGGTAGATAAAGTATTCGAACAACAGATACGAAGGAACATCTAAGTGTATGTTGATGACATGGTGATAAAAAGAAAAGGTGATGACGATTTCTTGAAAGATAGAGGATACTCTGAAACAACTAATACGAACCAATACGAAACTCAACCCTAAGAAATGTATGTCCAGGATGCAAAAGGGGACGTTCCTTGGTCATGTCATAACCATAACTGGAATAGAAGCAAATCTGGAGAAGGTAGAAGCATTACTAAAGGTGCAGGCAACAAAAATGGCAAAAGACATACAGAGCTTGAATGGAAAGCTAGCGGCACTAGGAAGATTCTTGGCGAAGTCAGCAGAATAGACCTTTCCTTTTTTTCCAAGCATTAAATATGCATACACGAAAGAATAATATTGAATGGTCGGGAGAAGCCGAGGAACCACTCCAGAAGTTAAAGCAAAATCTCTTAATTTTGCCAACGTTGGCAAGCCCAATCGCCAATGAAATACTGATAATATACTTATCGGCAAGTTAGGAAGCAATCAGGGCAGTTCTAGTAGCCAGAAGAGATAAGAAATAGATGTCAGTCTATTTCATAAGTAGGGTATTGCAAGGGGCTGAACGAAATTACTCTATAATCAGAAAGCTAGTCTTGTGTTTAATCTTTGCAGCTAGACGAGTATGATTATATTTTCAAGCCTATTCGATTTGGGTATTGACGAACCAAGCGATCAGGATGGATGACTAACTGGGCAATCGGTATGGGAGAGCATGACATCGACTACAAACCAAGGGTAGGTATCAAAGGACAAGATTTGGCGGATTTTCTAACAGAAATACCCAAAGATCAAGCTCAAATGGTGACGCATATGAAAGAGACCCAGCTGTTAACACCCGACCGAACCTCTAAAACAGATGAAGGGGCAAAGGAGTGGATACTACATACCAACAGGGCCTCAAGTAAAGATGGTTCAGGAGATGGAATCATCCTTGTCATCCCACATGGAGATAAATTGACTTATTCATAAAGGTTCGAATTCTTATGTTATAATAATAAGGCAGAGTACGAGGCTTTGCTTGTAGGCTACGATTGGCACAAATTATGAACATCCTAAAAATAAAGGTATTTTGTGATTCTATGTTGGTAGGCACTCAAATTAACAGGGAGTATGAAGCAAAATAAACACACATGCAAAATTACTTAAGCCAGGGAAAAGAATGGGAAAAGAAATTTCAAAAGTTCGAGATCACTCAAGTGTCGTGAGAAAAAAACAAAGATGTAGACACTTTAAGCAAGTTAGCATCGGTGGTTTTTAGTCATCTCACAAAAAAAGTGCTAGTTGAGATACAGCCAAAGAGGAGCATCGAAGATCTAATCACGGAAACTTTGGCAATCACCAAAGAAGAAGACTCCTAGATGAAACCATAAATCCTTTTCCTTACAAAAGGAACTTTGCCTACAGATGATGGAGAAGCTCGAAAGGTGCGGATTAATGCAACACGGAATATCATGTATGAATATCAGTTGTATCAAAAAGGGTACTCTACCTCATGGTTGAAGTGCATCATAAACATAGATGCATGACTCGTTATAGCATAAATACATGCAGGTATATGTGGAGCACACTTGGCATCAAGATCAATCACTGAAAAGATGCTTCGAACATGATACTTCTAGCCATCGATGATCACCGATACAAACGCTTTCATCCAAAAATTCCACGACTGTCAAATACACTCAAACATTCTGACACTACCACCAACGGCCTTGACAGGTATTACTAGTCCATGACCCTTTTTTCAATGGGGAATTGACATCATGGGACCTTTCCCTGAAGCATCATGAATAGTAAAGTTCTTAATAGTAGTCGTAGATTACTTTACCAAATAAGTTGAGGCAGAAGCACTGGCGGTAATCTCTGGAAATAACGTGGTGAAGTTCGTGTGGAAACAGATAGTTTGCCATTTTGTTATACCACACATGATTATCAGTGATAATGGGAAACAATTTTCAGAAAACCCCTTCAAGAAATGGTGTTTAGAAAAAAAATCAAACATAATTTCACCTCTGTAGCACACCTACAGACGAATGGCCAAGTGGAAGTCACCAACATAACTCTGTTCAAAGGAATAAAGAAACAATTAAGTCAAGCCAGGGAAATTGGGTCGATGAGTTACAAAGCGTGATATGGGCCTACCGAACGACAGTGCGAACACCAACCAAGGAAACGCCATTTGATTTGGTGTATGGAACAGAAATGGTCATTCCCATAGAAATAACAGTGCGGGGTACCCAAACTAGAGCTCCTCAAGAAAGCGAGAATAGTGCAAATATGGATCTATTGGAGGAAAGATGAGTTGATGCTGCCATAAGATAAGCTGTTTACAAAACAATGATGAAGAGATACTATAACACTAGAGTCAAAGGTACACCATGCAAAGTGGGGGATTTGGTCCTTAGGAAGAACAAAGCAAGCAGACAAGAGCACATCGGGAAGTTAAGTCCAAATTAGGAAGGACCATATCGAGTGGTGGAAGGTAGGAGCAACGGCTCATACGTACTGGAAAACATGGAGGAAGTTCGGTACTAAGAACATGGAACATACGAAACCTCCGCAAATTCCTTTTTAAATCAGCAATAGTCTACATCACTTTTGATATTCGATCGAAGAAATGTACCAATAGTATTAATGTGATAATCATCTTTTTTATGACAATTAATTATGACTTTGAATACAATATTTTAATCTTCAGTCGAAAACCTGTAACCACTATGTTCTTCTTTTAAATATAAAAAAAGAACCATAAGACCTTAGTAGTTTATGGTTCGGTCACCATGGTTTGTCAAACTATGGTTCGACCCTTTATTTCATAACAGAACCATAAAGCCTTAGTACCTTATGGTTCGGTCATCATGGTTCGTCAAACCATGGTTAGAACCTTTATTTCATAACAAAACCATAAAGCCTTAAATAGCTTATGGCTTGGTCACCATGATCCATCAAATCGTGGTTCGACCTTTCCTTTCATAAAAGAACCATAAATCCTTAGCAACTTATGGTTCGGTCACCATTGTACTCCAAACTATGGTTCGACCCGTTATTTCATAACAGAACCATAAAGCCTTAGTATTTCATGGTTTAGTTTTCATGGTTCGTCATGGTTCGACCCTTTCTTTTGTAAAAGAACCATAAGGCCTTAATAACTTATGGTGCGATCACCATGATCCGTCAAATCATGGTTCAACCTTTTCTTTCAATAAAGGAACCATAAATCCTTAATAGCTTATGGTTTGGCCACCAAGATTCGCCATACCATGGTTCGATCCATGTTCCACTTACAAAAAGAAAATCATAATCATCATAAGGATCAAATGGATTACAATTTTGAAGTCACGACAAAAGTCAAAACACGTATAGGCAAATGAGGCATTATATTATATCAAATATGTTTGTTCTTACAAAACAAGCAAGGAGATAAAAATACTAGTAGCCAATACATTTGTCAAAATACAATAAAAAAAGGTCTGAAGATAGAAAGTTATAACCCAAGCTACACACTAGAACTTGCACCATCATGCTTCAAGATTGGGTCCAAATCTGCCAACTCTTTCTTTAACTTGCCATCATCAATCTTGTCACCTTCTAAAAGACCGAATAGAAAATATTTATGAGTAATCATATACGAAAAACGGTCGAGAATATGGCGTTGAGCATCCGAGTAAGAGTAGAGGACATTTTTGCCATCCAGTGCCTCAACATATTTTTCTTTCATCTCCGAACACGTCTGATGGAGCCCTAACTGGATGGAGGCAGTTTGAAGAGCAGCGTTGACATCCCCAAAATCAATAGAATTCATGAGCGCCCAAACAAATGAAGGAATGCCCTCTTTTATCACCCATTGGAGATTAGAAGCCTCCTGATTGAACGATGCTCGATCTTGTAGTTCCTTCTCTTCAACCGAAGTATGAAACTCACTCAAAGATGCAAGTTGGACAATCTTATCGGTAACCACAGTTTTAAGACCAGATAGCTCATTTTCAAGTAATTTGATGCGAAAATCTTTACCCGAAAAAGCAATCTCTAGTTGAGAAACATTCAAGGTATACTGAAGCTTCAAAGAATCGAACTGTTGAGATTGTTCCTCAAGTTCCTTGCTTAATTTTGAACGTTGACTAATTTCATCATCTGCTCGAAGTTGAAGATCATGGTTCAAGTTCGACAACTCCTCTTGACCACGAAGATTCTAACTCAAATCCTTTACTAACTACTGGTTTCTATCAGATAACCCTGCCATATTCTTCCGCAACTTCTGAGCTTCTCTTCCACTTGCTCGTAAATCTGTCGCAACTTTTTCATAGCCTGAAAGCATTCGTCAAACTTTAGTTGTTTCGAGGAAAGAATTTGCGCAAGTGTCTGAGTGCGGGCAGAAACTTCATTGAGCAAATGCATCCTTTCCATCAGGCAGGTACGAGCTCTATCAAGGCTCTCCTCATCTGATGCATTCACAATCTCAAGATATGCAGGTACGGAAGTCATTGCAAACGGACATTGGAATAGGGGAAGTGATGCAACAAGTGATACAAGGGTAGGAATAGAAATGTCATTCTGGGAAGATGACAACACTGAAACAAATACAACAAAAATCGTCATAAAGGTGTACAGAACAAGATGCATACGAAATAGAAAAACATTAAGGGAAACATACCAATCTTCTATGAAATGTTTGGAGCAGTTGTAGCAGCGATTTCAAGCAAAGCATCATTCCCAAAATCGGGAGTCATGTCAGACGTTTCCATAGAAATCAAATATGAACTTGAAGGAAGACCCGAACCAACCAAGGAGGTATTCACAGTGATGACTATTGATTCCACACCAGACACTTGAAGCAGGCTAGCACCAGTACCAAAAAGCTTTTGTTGAAAAAACAATTGCAGAACTCGGAGAAAGTAAGGTTAGATACTTGGATAACACAATAACGGATTCCATAACATTATGGATTTCTATGGTCAGAAATGTAGAAGCATCAGGTGTAACGCACCGTTCCTGGTACGTATATAATTTATTAAAATGTTCATTATATAAGAGCTACTCGACGAGTTGGTAGCCCTAACTCGTCGAGTAGATGCCAGCTTGATCGCGGGGTTTAAGTGGTCTACTCGACGAGTCGAAGCCTGGACTCGGCGAGTAGGTCCATCAGGAGGAAACCCTAATCTTCAGGGTTTGCGCCCTATTTAAACATCATATCTGGCCTCCACCCCAGCCTCCATCACCTCCAAACCCTATTATCGAAACCCTAATCCGCCATAAGTGATCTTGAGCTAGTTCTTGCCATTTTTGAGTGTTTTTGTGCATTGTGAAGCTTGTAGAAGAAGTAGAAGTTTGAAGACTCAAAGGGGAAGGAGTAGATCCAGGAGCTACACTTCATTTACTGCATTTTCTGGTAATCAAGCTTCTAACTTGATCTTTCTTCTCTTAGATCTAGTTAACTTCATATTATGAAAGCTTTGGGTCAAGAATGTTGGTCCTTGGGGTTGGGACGTCCTAAGTGACTCATATCTCAGATCTAGGATCTAGGAAGGGTTCCATGGCATAAAGGTGAAAACTCTATGACCATGGAAGCCCCATGCAAGCATATGAGCAATTTTATGGTCTTTTTAGCCCTAAAAGACCATGCATGGAAGGAATGTTCGAAGCTTTATGTGTCCAACAGATTCTAAGACCTTAGATCTGGGTTTGTATGCGTGGATTTGAGATTATATGGCCTTTTGGACAAGATTCATGTATTATAAGAATTAGGGTTTTGTCTAAACCCTTTTAGAGGAACTATGAACGGGTAAAGTTGGAAACTTTACCCTTAGGAAGGCCTTTCCAGTTGACCAATGAACTAATGAACATAGATCTAAATGGTAGGAGCTTAATCTATTAAGATGGCTCAATCAGATAAGGGAACTCGCCGAGTCCAGGTAAGGACTCGACGAGTTGAAGCGGGTTATCCCAATTTTTATAACAGCAAGAACTCGACGAGTCTGTTAAGGGACTCGACGAGTTGACTCAGTTGATTACGGGTTTAAGCATTCAGGAACTCGTCGAGTAGGGAGATAACTCGTCGATTTGGGAGATAACTCGACGAGTTGGGTTAACTGGGAGTTGACCTTGACTTTGACTTTGACATTGACCAGAGGTAAAATGGTCGTTTTACCCTAAGAGAGGATTAGCAGATTCTGTTTAAGTGTTATTATGGAATTGATAGCCTGTAACACCAGCAAAATTAGGTCAAAAATAAAGTTGTTCAGTAACCATAATTGAGTATACTAAGTGGTAGATATCGTAACTAGGTTTCCAAAAATATAAAGAACACTAAAATCCGAGTTATAACGAAGAAGTTATGACTGATCGAAGATACGCGACAATACCGGTAAAACACAGTTAAGCATAAAAGGAGAAATTTCAATAAAATACTTTTCAACCTTAGGTGTCTAAATGAAAGTCGTAGATATCCCAAAACCGTGAACATACATAAAAAGAACGCCTAAATCTGACTTCATATGAGGAAGTTATGATTTTTCGAAGTTTCGGACATAGCAGTAGACAACTAAAAACTCGAAATCGAGATCGAGCGACTTTTTGCCAACATGACCTAAACGAGAATCGAAGATCTCATCAATGGTATTACAACGGTACAAAGTCTGATGAAAACGGACATCGGCGAAGAAGTTATGGATTTCTAACAGAGTTTTCCTGTCCCGACCTACTAAAAATAATATATTAATAATATATTAAAAATAAATCAAAATTAGCCAACGGAGTCTAAACAAGATTTGTAGAGCATAATCTCACCTACGCGTGGATATAAAGAACGTCGAAAACGGAGTTCGTATGCGAAAGTTATGAATTTCTGAAGTTCGGGCGCGAAACCCCAAAACTGTCAGTGTTCACGATGTGAAAACAGTGTTCACGGCGTGAACTGACTTCTGACGCCTTCTGGAGCCTGACAGATGAAAGTTGCGATGACGCACCTGATGACGACTGAACTCACGACGTGAATATTTGAGATTCACGACGTGAACCCAGAAAATTCACCCTATAAATAAGGATTGAGGGCAGCCGGCTTTGGTTGTTCATTTCCATCCTTTCTCCTACTTCTACTCTGTGTTAAGCCTCCTGATACCACCCCGAAGCCCGATAGCACCTCTAACACACGACGCAAGTCACGAAGTCCCGAAGATCCCGAGAAACTTGCTTCTTTTCAGTCGAAGTACTGCCCGAGTTGAGTCTCGTCTTCTTCAACTCACCACTTCTATCAAGTGAGTTCATACCTCTACAACCACACTTTAAATGATTTTAAAATGCTTTTGAAACACTTTTAAGGGGGGGGAATACAAGTAAACACACGGTTAAAATCGTGTGAAACACCAATCTTTTACTATACTTTTCGTACTGTTATTTTAACTATCATATGAAGTTGTTATCATGCAAAACACCTCACAACACAACTTTACCCTCTTGGGATATAATATGTTTTATTTATACGTTTGCATACTACATCATATCAAGGGTAACCATTTTCAACTAGAACATGATGCTTTTACAAGAAAACTCAACTCATCATTACGCCTTTGTAACACGGTAGAAAAGGAAATCATTTCATACAAACGATTTTTCATCATATTACTCGTGAACTAGTTGTTAGCAATCATGTGATGTCATATGGCTTTGTTTGTACCAAACGAAAGTCCCCACCTATAACCAGAGTCTCTTGGAGGGAGAGCGTGACAAGTGTGTATAGATCTATACGGGGCTGACGACTCCGCACCCTGACTGTTAGCTACAGTCCCCGGGGTGACAAATGTCAACATTAGGTACTGCGTCTAGTATGGTTATGAGGAACTCACAACACGCGGAAACAATGACTCATGCACGTAGTAATACATAACTCAATCATGCTCGGGGGGGTAATAACTATATTATAGGGTATTATCACCATGTTCATAATTCAGGATAAACACTTCCACAACTAGTTTTACTTAGTAATAAAACTATACATCTTCATTTGTAAGCATGACATCTTTGCTTACAGGTTACAGTCTTGGTCATTTAAGACTGCATCTCATTTAGGAAAATATAGGATTTTCCTGGTTCAAACATTCACTTTATACATCTTCATTTCTAAGCATGACATATTTGCTTATAGGTTACAGTCTTGGTCATTTAAGACTGCATCTCATTTAGGAAAATATAGGGTTTTCCTGGTTCAAACATTCACTTTATACATCTTCATTTCTAAGCATGGCATATTTGTTTACAGGTTACAGTCTTGGTCATTTAAGACTGCATCTCATTTAGGAAAATATAGGATTTTCCTGGTTCAAACATTCACTTTATACAACAATGATTCACAACCCACTTTATTAAGAAAATATCGGATTTTCTGGAAAAAATACACGAACTTTCGAATGGCATACATTTTATCAAAACACTACTTATGAACTCACCAACTTAAATGTTGACACTTTTTCTTTGAAATAACTTGTATTCTCAGGAAATCGCTAAACCAAGTTAGCAACTGCTTTTGAAGACTTACGCTCAGGCGTTAGTTTAATCTTTTGGATATCATATTGTAATTGACTTTTGCAAACATGTAATACTACAATCATGTAAACTTTTCAATTATGTATATGATGGTCGTGTGTACTTTCTTTACTATTCATTTGTTATGATACTGAACATGACGTCCTCCGCCCCCGAACGTTTCCGCCGTTCAGGTTTGGGGGTGTGACAGATTGGTATCAGAGCATTGTTTATAGTGAACTAAGTATATCAAAACCATTTTTGATATAAAAACTATAAACACAACTGGGCAAAAACACTCTGAGTGAGAGTTATACTTTTAAAATGAAATTTTTATAAAGTATACATGCATACATTATATAACAGGGTCAGTATCATAATGAAAACAATATAGAAGTATTATAGATGAGTTGTACAATACAAGTATGCCTTGGGATATGTAATCGGGACTGGGATGAATATAGCCTGATCAACTATATTTGTCCGAGAGCCGAACTGCGTATGCCAGGGGATAGCTATAGTGGACAACAAGTCTAAAACTTACCAAACTTATAAACTTTAGAATCAAACATAACATTTAGAATACTATAGGAGTATATTATGCATACCCTAGTTTAACTTTAATAATCAGCCTTATGTGCCTTAATTCTAGACAATTCTTATACCCCTATTCTCGTACAGACACAATGGCCGGATTCCACCTACCAGGAGACCCCTACTACCCGATCCAAGACAGTGGAGAAGGGATAGAGAATGATCCAGAAGAAGAAATGCAAGAAGACTCAGACCCAGATCCCGAGGACAATAACCTACCCTTAGCGGCTCAAATTCAAAATCCTAATCCTCGACCGGAATTTCATGGCTCGACACCTCTATGGGCAACCAACCTGAATAGGTGGAGTCGCGAACAGGGTCAACCCCTTCCATACAATGGAGACCGAAGCTTCTACAATCTGAGCGAGGGAGGCTCAGCAGACAGAGTCCTTCCTATATTGGTTCGCCGAATTGCTCGCATTGATGAACGAGGAAGGACAACCATCCATCGAACTGAGGAGAATGATGCGAACACTGGAGTCAATACAGTTCGCATCCGACAGTTAGGATTA